GTCCCGCGTCGATCATACTCCCTTGGCGGCCTGGGCGCATTTGCAAGCTGCCCGCCCCGTTGCTCTCAGGGAGGGAAGGGACCGCAGAAGCAGTCACATACGGAATCAGGGGACCTTCTGTTGCAATAAACCTTCCCTCCAAGTTTCTTCTCCAGATGTCCCTGCCAGGATGTATTATCATGGCGGGAAGTGCCCGTCTGAGAATCCTCAATCGTGCCGAAGCGCCGTTTTCGGTTGCAGACCAAATTGCGGGTGGGTGGGTGGGTGGGATGATTCAACGAACATGGGAGGTGGTCACGCGCGGTGCAGGTTAGTAAATTGCACCCTGTAGGGTGCCCCACATTGATTGCACAAGAAAGCCCGCGCAGATTGCTCCACATACCTTGCACAACGTGTACTGTACGACCTATAGTCTCATACATTGCACCGCGCGTATTCCACTGCATATTTCGCACAACCTAGATTGCACACAACTGATTGCACAACATACATTGCACAACATATGCAGCATATCATATACGACACAACATGTGTTGCGCAACGTGGGCCGTACACCATGTGTTGCATAACGTGTTTCACACAACAATCATTGGACTACATCTATTGTACCACATGCGATGCACAACATAGGTTACGCAACACATGTGTCACAACATATGGTGTGCCACAAATATTGCACCACATAGACCACACATATATGGCACAACGCGAATAGTTACAATCACATTGTGTTGGACCCACGCTTTGGCGGGAACCGTTTTTTTGAGAACGGCTTGCCGTCCATTCATGAAACGGTTGCGGTTCTGTAGAAGAATATTCGAGGCGATAACAAAGTTTTGAAAACGACCCGCCCTCTGCTTTCGAAGCTGCTGCAAACTTTTAGTCCGAATTTCTCGCTGCTCGAAGGCGATAGCCACATATTGAAAACGACCCGCTTTCAATTTTCAAGTCGCAGGGTCAATAATGATGAGGAAGCTGGCGGCGAAACGCCGAGCCCGCCTTACCCACTCCTGTGGATGCGACAGGGAAGAGTTACTCATAGGAAAAAGGAATTGGGAAGGGCGGGGCGCGGAGGAGACGGATAGAGGACGAGCGGTTCTTGGAGGAGGTGGAGGAGCAGTGGCAGAAGGGTCTCGACGAGCGGGGCGATGCACGAGCAGGACGAGGAGGGGGGACGGGGGCAGGAAGGGGAGGAGCAGGAACAGCAAAGGTGGCAAAAGCGCAGGGTGCGCGTGCGCGTCGTCGGGCTCCCCCAGCCGCCGCCCCGCCCCCGAGGGCGCCCTGCCCCTGCCCGGCGCCGCGGGCGCGGTGGGCTCGCTGGGGCGGCCTGAGGCCGTGGCCCAGGGCGGCTTCGCCCGAGGATCGAGGTGTCCGGTCGCCTGTGGCCCTTCCTGGGGGCCCTCGAGGCCTCGGGGGGGCCTCGGGAGAAGGGGGGGACCTCGGGAGGCCTCGCCGTCGCTCCTGCTGCTTCCAGGCCCCCCAGGTTCGCCATGAGGAGGAGGGGCGCCGCTTGGCACAATGGATTCTTGAAGTTGCAGTCCCACGTCGATCATACTCCCTTGGCGGCCTGGGCGCATGTGCAGCTGCCCGCCCCGTTGCTCTTAGGGAGGGAAAGAACCGCAGAAGGAGTCACATACGGAATCAGAATCAGGGGACCTTCTGTTGAAATAAACCCTCCCTCCAAGTTTCCTCTCCAGATGTCCCTGCCAGGATGTATCATCATGGCGGGAAGTGCCCGTCTGAGAATCCTCAATCGTGCGGAAGCGCCGTTTTTGGTACTTCAACACCACGAAGTAACGTGACTGTTGCATCAGGAGAATCCTTAATCGCGCCAGAGCGCCATTCGTGGGACTTCAACATTGCGAATCGACGACGCTGCAAACCGTAATCGTGCCAGAGCACCATTCCTGGGACTTCGTGTTCGCGAGCCTCTGAAACTTTTGCAAACGTCCAGAACGAGAGCTCGCGGCGCTAAGGCGGGAGCCACGTGTTGAAAAGGAGCCGCTCTCCATCTTTCAAACTGTTGCTCTTAGGGATTCTTACTGCTTGTCTAAGGAACCGGGCCTGGCTGTTGGTGCTGCGGCCATGTAGCCGCCCCGTCGCCGCCCCGTCGCCGCCCGTCGTCTGGGCCTGGCTGCTGGTCCGGCGACTATGTAGCCGCCGTCGCCGCCTCGTCGCCGCCCGTCGTTTGGGCCTGGTTGTTGGTCCGCCGCTTGGTGGTTTCCGTCGCCGGCCCGTCGCCGCCTTGTCGCCGCCCGCAGCCTCGTCGCCGCGTGCGTTTGTATTGATCTGCGTTATCTTGAAATCCAGTGCGCCTCTTCGCATTGCATTGCATTGCGTTGATTTGCATTGTTTCTTTTGCGTTGCTCTGCATTGCTTCGCATGGTCGCACCACATGGATGTTCCGCATACGTGAGTATGTATATATATGTACATATACATACACATACTGCACCACATGGGCAGCACAACAAAGACTGCACAAACTGCAACAACAATATCGCACCACGTATATTACACAACATGTGTTGCATCACATCGATGTTCCATTATGAGAAGTAGGTGATCTACAACCCCGTACCCCGGGGTTTATTGGCACTCCCTGGGATAGCACGATTCAGATATGATGTTGCCCCACTGTTCGTTCTGGATGTGAATTCGCACATCCCAGCGAAACCCCTGCATCGCCCCCGCATCCTCGCCAACTGATGCTGTGCGCGCGCTCTCGTTTATCCAACGTCATCAGTTTCAGGCATCCTTCGCAGCAGCACGTGACACGGAGTCGACGCGCGCGCGCGCACCCTCGCGGACGCGCACTGCCGAGCTTATTCCGAAGCCCGCAGTTGCAGCAGGATTTCAATACAATGGGGGGCGCGTGCCAAGACACCAGTTGGACTTTTGCCAGGGTGCCCTGGGTTTCTTGGATTTCGATGGGCTCCCAATCAGATCCTGACGATCTTCGATCGACACGTGTGGACTTTCACCGAAGAAATCGCGGATCTCAGGGTTGGGTTTCTTGCGGAGGTTTCCTGTGGCCGAGCCCCCACTGTATCGAATTTTCCGAGCACATAAAAAAAAACCTTGCTTGCAACATGAATCTTCAAAGAATTCACGCCCGCCCTTGCGCATTCTTACGACAACCGCATGTTTTCAACATGCTCATCGCTTCGACCGAGCGGGCCTCCCGCGCGCGCAGGTCGAAATCATTCGGACGCCCTTGCGAGCTTGTTGGGAGGGGGGCGCGGTCCCTGTCAAATGCCACTTCGCGGGCCATTCGCGCCCGTCGGCCGCGCGCGCATGTCTAAATCCTCCCAAAACCTTCATGACCGACACGTGGACACTACCATCGTCATCGGCGTGACCAGCATTTGCGCCATCACTGGCCTTGCCGTAGTCAATGCCATCGTCGCCACCAGCATCCAGCATCGCTACTATCATTATCGTGCCTGCCGTTGTCGACGTCGCCATGATACCGCGCTCGCCCGAGTCACTGACTCGCATTGAAGGGCCCACGCGTCAGCGCGGCCTGCGAGACGCGTTGGGAAGTGCCCAGCGATCAGCGCCACCGCGGCCGCGTCGGTCGCGCCAAACTAGCTGGCCGCTCTGCGCGCGAGCCTGCGCGCGTTAGCACGGCCGGAGCGACGCGCCAGCCAGCGCCAAGCAGTCATCGCAATCGCAGCCGCATGGGTTTTGCAGGCCAAGTTGCGGGTGGGTGGGTGGGATGATTAAACGAGCATGGGAGGTGGTCACGCGCGGTGTAGGTTAGTAAATTGCACCCTGTAGGGTGCCCCACATTGATTGCACAAGAAAGCCCGCGCAGATTGCTCCACATACGTGACACAACGTATACTGTACGACCTATAGTACACCACATATAATGCACCGCGTGTATTCCACGGCATATTTCGCCCAACCTACATTGCACACGATTGATTGCACAACATATATTGCACAACAGATACTGCATATCATGTAAGACAACATGTGTTGTGCAACGTGGGCAGTGCAACATATATTGCATAACGTGTCTCACACAACAAATTCTGGACAACATCAAGTGTGCCACACGTGAGGCACAACAGAGGTTACGCAACCTTTGTGGCACAACGTATGTTGTGCCACAAAAATTGCACCACAGAGACTGCACATATGTGGCACAACATAAATTGCTCTAGTCATTTTGTTTTGGACCCACGCTTTGGCGGGAACCGTTTTTTGAGAACGGCTTGCCGTTCATTCATGAAACGGTTGCGGAGAAGAATTTTCGAGGCCATAACAAAGTGCTGAATACGATCTGCTCTTTTTTCGAAGCTGTTGAAAACTGTTAGTCCGAACTTTTCGGCGCTAGAAGGCGATAGCCACATTTTGAAAATGACCCGCTGTCAACTTTCAAGTCGCAGGGTCAAGATTGATGAGGAAGCTGGCGGCGAAACGCCGAGCCCGCCTTACCCATTCCTGTGGATGCGACAGGGAAGAGATACTCATAAGAAAAAGGAATCGGGAAGGGCGGGGCGCGGAGGAGAAGGAGAGAGGACGACCGGTTCTTGGGGGAGGTGGAGGAGCAGCGGCAGAAGGGTCTCGACGAGCGGGGCGATGCACGAGCAGGACGAGGAGGGGGGACGGGCGCAGGAAGGGGAGGAGCAGGAAAGGCAAAGGTGGCAAAGGTGCAGGGTGCGCGTGCGCGTCGTCGGGCTCCCCCAGCCACCGCCCCGCCCCCGAGGGCGCCCTGCCCCTGCCCGGCGCCGCGGGCGCGGTGGGCTCGCTGGGGCGGCCGAAGGCCTTGGCTCAGGCGGCCTCGCCCGAGGATCGAGGTGTCTGGTCGCCTGTGTGGCCCTTCCTGGGGGCCCTCGAGGCCTCGGGGGGGCCTCGGGAGAAGGGGGGGACCTCGGGAGGCCTCGCCGTCGTTCCTGCTGCTTCCAGGCCGCCCAGGTTCGCCATGAGGAGGAGGGGCGCCGCTTGGCACAATGGATTCTTGAAGTTGCAGTCCCACGTCGATCATACTCCCTTGGCGGCCTGGGCGCATTTGCAAGCTGCCCGCCCCGTTGCTCTTAGGGAGGGAAGGAACCGCAGAAGGAGTCACATACGGAATCAGGGGACCTTCTGTTGAAATATACCCTCCCTCCCTCCAAGTTTCCTCTCCAGATGTCCCTGCCAGGATGTATCATCATGGCGGGAAGTGCCCGTCTGAGAATCCTCAATCGTGCGGAAGCGCCGTTTTTGGTACTTCAACGCCACGAAGTAACGTGACTGTTGCATCAGGAGAATCCTTAATCGCGCCAGAGCGCCATTCGTGGGACTTCAACATTGCGAATCGACGACGCTGCAAACCATAATCGTGCCAGAGCACCATTCCTGGGACTTCTCGTGCACGAATCCTTGAAACTGCTGCAAACGTCCCAAACGAGTGCGCGCGGCGCTAAGGCGGGAGCCACGTGTTGAAAAGGAACCGCTCTCCATCTTTCAAACTGTTGCTAATATTTTCTCAAAGCAGTGTTTGCTCTTAGGGATTCTTACAGCTTGTCTAAGGAACTGGGCCTGGCTGTTGGTGCTGCGGCAATGTAGCCGCCTCGTCGCCGCCCCGTCGCCGCCCGTCGTCTGGGCCTGGCTGTTGGTCCGGCGACTATGTAGCCGCCGTCGCCGCCTCGTCGTCGCCCGTCGTCTGGGCCTGGTTGTTGGTCCGCCGCTTGGTGGTTTCCGTCGCCGGCCCGTCGCCGCCTTGTCGCCGCCTGCAGCCTCGTCGCCGCGTGTGTTTGGATTGATCTGCGTTATTTTGAAATCCAGTGCGCCTCTTCGCATTGCATTGCATTGCATTGATTTGCATTGTTTCTTTTGCGTTGCTCTGCATTGCGTCGCATGGGGTTGGGTTTCTTGCGGAGGTGTCTTGTGGCCGAGCCCCCACTGTATCGAATTTTCCGAGCACATAGAAAACATTTGCTTGCAACATGAATCTTCAAAGAGTTCGCGCCCGCCCTTGCGCATTCTTACGACAACCGCATGTTTTCAACATGCTGATCGCTTCGACCGAGCGGGCCTCCCGCGCGCGCAGGTCGAAATCATTCGGACGCCCTTGCGAGCTTGTTGGGAGGGGGGCGCGGTCCCTGTCAAATGCCACTCTGCGGGCCATTCGCGCCCGTCGGCCGCGCGCGCATGTCTAAATCCTCCCAAAACCTTCATGACCGACACGTGGACACTACCATCGTCATCGGCGTGACCAGCATTTGCGCCATCACTGGCCTTGCCGTAGTCAATGCCATCGTCGCCACCAGCATTCAGCATCGCTGCTATCATCATCGTGCCTGCCGTTGTCGACGTCGCCATGATACCGCGCTCGCCCGAGTCACCGACTCGCATTGAACGGCCCACGCGTCAGCGCGGCCTGCGAGACGCGTTGGGAAGTGCCCAGCGATCAGCGCCACCGCGGCCGCGTCGGTCGCGCCAAACTAGCTGGCCGCTCTGCGCGCGAGCCTGCGCGCGTTAGCACGGCCGCAGCGACGCGCCAGCCAGCGCCAAGCAGTCATCGCAATCGCAGCCGCATGGGTTTTGCAGGCCAAGTTGCGGGTGGGTGGGTGGGATGATTAAACGAGCATGGGAGGTGGTCACGCGCGGTGTAGGTTAGTAAATTGCACCCTGTAGGGTGCCCCACATTGATTGCACAAGAAAGCCCGCGCAGATTGCTCCACATACGTGGCACAACGTATGTTGTACGACCTATAGTGCACCACATATTTTGCACCGCGTGTATTCCACGGCATATTTCGCCCAACCTACATTGCACACGATTGATTGCACAACATGCGTTGCACAACAGATACTGCACATCATGTAAGACAACATGTGTTGTGCAACGTGGGCAGTGCAACACATATTGCATAACGTGTCTCACACAGCAAATTCTGGACAACATCAAGTGTGCCACACGTGAGGCACAACAGAGGTTACGCAACCTTTGTGGCACAACATATGTTGTGCCACAAAAATTGCACCACAGAGACTGCACATATGTGGCACAACATAAATTGCTCTAGTCACATTGTTTTGGACCCACGCTTTGGCGGGAACCGTTTTTTGAGAACGGCTTGCCGTTCATTCATGAAACGGCTGCGGAGAAGAATTTTCGAGGCCATAACAAAGTTTTGAATACGATCTGCTCTTTTTTTCGAAACTGCTGCAAACTTTTAGTCCGAACTTCTCGGCGCTAGAAGGCGATAGCCACATTTTGAAAATGACCCGCTGTCAACTTTCAAGTCGCAGGGTCAAAATTGATGAGGAAGCTGGCGGCGAAACGCCGAGCCCGCCTTATCCACTCCTGTCGATGCGACAGGGAAGAGTTACTCATAAGAAAAAGGAATGGGGAAGGGCGGGGCGCGGAGGAGAAGGAGAGAGGACGAGCGGTTCTTGGAGGAGGTGGAGGAGGGAGCAGCGGCAGAAGGGTCTCGACGAGCGGGGCGATGCACGAGCAGGACGAGGAGGGGGACGGGGGCAGGAAGGGGAGGAGCAGGAACAGCAAGGGTGGCAAAGGTGCAGGGTGCGCGTGCGCGTCGTCGGGCTCCCCCAGCCACCGCCCCGCCCCCGAGGGCGCCCTGCCCCTGCCCGGCGCCGCGGGCGCGGTGGGCTCGCTGGGGCGGCCTGAGGCCGTGGCCCAGGCGACCTCGCCCGAGGATCGAGGTGTCCGGTCGCCTTTGGCCCTTCCTGGGGGCCCTCGAGGCTTCGGGGGGGCCTCGGGAGAAGGGGGGGACCTCGGGAGGCCTCGCCGTCGTTCCTGCTGCTTCCAGGCCGCCCAGGTTCGCCATGAGGAGGAGGGGCGCCGCTTGGCACAATGGATTCTCGAAGAGGCCCACGCAGTGGTGCCATCAGCGCCAGTCGTAGAAGCAGCAGTTCCAGGTTGATTCTATTCCGTTGGCGGCCTGGGCACATTTGCAAGCTGCCCGCCCCGTTGAGCTTAGGAAGGGAAGGAACCGCAAAAGGAGTCACATACGGAGTCAGGGGTCCTTCTGTTGCAACAAACACGTTTCCTCTCCAGATGTCCCCACCAGGATGTATTATCATGGCGGGAAGGGCCCGCCTCAGAGTCCTCAATCGTGCCGAGGCGCCATTTGTGGTATATCAACGCCACGAAGTAACGTGACTGTTGCGTCAGGAAGTCCTTCATCACGCCAGTGCGCCATTCTTGGGACTTCAACATTGCGAATCATCGACGCTGTCGCGTCTTGACAATCCTATCGTGCCAGAGCACCATTTCTGGGACTTCTCGTGCACGAATCCTTGGAACTGCTGCAAACGTCCCAAACGTGTGCGTGCGGCGCTACGGCGGGAGCCACGTGTTGAAAAGGAACCGCTCTCCATCTTTCAAACTGTTGCTAATATTTTCTCAAAGTAGTGTTTGCTCTTAGGAATTCTTACAGCTTGTCTAAGGAACTGGGCCTGGCTGTTGTTGCTGCGGCCATGTAGCCGCCTCGTCGCCGCCCCGTCGCCGCCCGTCGTCTGGGCCTGGCTGTTGGTCCGGCGACTATGTAGCCGCCGTCGCCGCCTCGTCGCCGCCCGTCTGGGCCTGGTTGTTGGTCCGCCGCTTGGTGGTTTCCGTCGCCGGCCCGTCGCCGCCTTGTCGCCGCCCGCAGCCTCGTCGCCGCGTGTGTTTGGATTGATCTGCGTTATTTTGAAATCCAGTGCGCCTCTTCGCATTGCATTGCATTGCATTGCATTGATTTGCATTGTTTCTTTTGCGTTGCTCTGCATTGCTTCGCATGGTCGCACCGCATGGATGTTCCGCATACGTGAGTATATATATATATATATGTATATGTACATATACATACACATACTGCACCACATGGGCAGCACAACAACGACTGCACAAACTGCAACAACAATATCGCACCACGTATATTACACAACATGTGTTGCATCACATCGATTTTCCATTCTGAGAAGTAGGTGATCTACAACCCCGTACCCCGGGGTTTGTTGGCACTCCCTGGGATAGCACGATTCAGATATGCTGTTGCCCCACTGTTCGTTCTGGATGTGAATTCGCACATCCCAGCGAAACCCCTGCATCGCCCCCGCATCCTCGCCAACTGATGCTGTGCGCGCGCTCTCGTTTATCCAACGTCATCAGTTTCAGGCATCCTTCGCAGCAGCACGTGACACGGAGTCGACGCGCGCGCGCACCCTCGCGCACGCGCACTGCCGAGCTTATTCCGAAGCCCGCAGTTGCAGCAGGATTTCAATACAATGGGGGGCGCGTGCCAAGACACCAGTTGGACTTTTGCCAGGGTGCCCTGGGTTTCTTGGATTTCGATGGGCTCCCAATCAGATCCTGACGATCTTCGATCGACACGTGTGGACTTTCACCGAAGAAATCGCGGATCTCAGGGTTGGGTTTCTTGCGGAGGTTTCCTGTGGCCCCGGCCCCCACTGTATCGAATTTTCCGAGCACATAAAAAAAACCTTGCTTGCAACATGAATCTTCAAAGAATTCGCGCCCGCCCTTGCGCATTCTTACGACAACCGCATGTTTTCAACATGCTCATCGCTTCGACCGAGCGGGCCTCCCGCGCGCGCAGGTCGAAATCATTCGGACGCCCTTGCGAGCTTGTTGGGAGGGGGGCGCGGTCCCTGTCAAATGCCACTCTGCGGGCCATTCGCGCCCGTCGGCCGCGCGCGCATGTCTAAATCCTCCCAAAACCTTCATGACCGACACGTAGACACTACCATCGTCATCGGCGTGACCAGCATTTGCGCCATCACTGGCCTTGCCGTAGTCAATGCCATCGTCGCCACCAGCATCCAGCATCGCTACTATCATCATCGTGCCTGCCGTTGTCGACGTCGCCATGATACCGCGCTCGCCCGGGTCACCGACTCGCATGGAAGGGCCCACGCGTCAGCGCGGCCTGCGAGACGCGTTGGGAAGTGCCCAGCGATCAGCGCCACCGCGGCCGCGTCGGTCGCGCCAAACTAGCTGGCCGCTCTGCGCGCGAGCCTGCGCGCGTTAGCACGGCCGCAGCGACGCGCCAGCCAGCGCCAAGCAGTCATCGCAATCGCAACCGCATGGGTTTTGCAGGCCAAGTTGCGGGTGGGTGGGTGGGATGATTAAACGAGCATGGGAGGTGGTCACGCGCGGTGTAGGTTAGTAACTTGCACCCTGTAGGGTGCCCCACATTGATTGCACAAGAAAGCCCGCGCAGGTTGCTCCACATACGTGGCACAACGTATGTTGTACGACCTATAGTGCACCACATATTTTGCACCGCGTGTATTCCACGGCATATCTCGCCCAACCTACATTGCACACGATTGATTGCACAACATACGTTGCACAACAGTTACTGCACATCATGTAAGACAACATGTTTTGTGCAACGTGGGCAGTGCAACATATATTGCATAACGTGTCTCACACAGCAAATTCTGGACAACATCAAGTGTGCCACACGTGAGGCACAACAGAGGTTACGCAACCTTTGTGGCACAACATATGTTGTGCCACAAAAATTGCACCACAGAGACTGCACATATGTGGCACAACATAAATTGCTCTAGTCACATTGTTTTGGACCCACGTTTTGGCGGGAACCGTTTTTTGAGAACGGCTTGCCGTTCATTCATGAAATTGCTGCGGAGAATAATTTTCGAGGCCATAACAAAGTTTTGAATACGATCTGCTCTTTTTTCGGAACTGCTGCAAACTTTTAGTCCGAACTTCTCGGCGCTAAAAGGCGATAGCCACATTCTGAAAGCGACCCGCTTTCAACTTTCAAGTCGCAGGGTCAAAATTGATGAGGAAGCTGGCGGCGAAACGCCGAGCCCGCCTTACCCACTCCTATGGGTGCGACAGGGAAGAGTTACTCATAAGAAAAAGGAATTGGGAAGGGCGGGGCGCGGAGGAGAAGGAGAGAGGACGAGTGTTTCTTGGAGGAGGTGGAGGAGCAGCGGCAGAAGGGTCTCGACGAGCGGGGCGATGCACGAGCAGGACGAGGAGGGGGGACGGGGGCAGGAAGGGGAGGAGCAGGAACAGCAAAGGTGGCAAAAGCGCAGGGTGCGCGTGCGCGTCGTCGGGCTCCCCCAGCCACCGCCCCGCCCCCGAGGGCGCCCTGCCCCTGCCCGGCGCCGCGGGCGCGGTGGGCTCGCTGGGGCGGCCTGAGGCCGTGGCCCAGGCGGCCTCGCCCGAGGATCGAGGTGTCCGGTCGCCTTTGGCCCTTCCTGGGGGCCCTCGAGGCTTCGGGGGGGCCTCGGGAGAAGGGGGGGACCTCGGGAGGCCTCGCCGTCGTTCCTGCTGCTTCCAGGCCGCCCAGGTTCGCCATGAGGAGGAGGGGCGCCGCTTGGCACAATGGATTCTTGAAGTTGCAGTCCCACGTCGATCATACTCCCTTGGCGGCCTGGGCGCATTTGCAAGCTGCCCGCCCTGTTGCTCTTAGGGAGGGAAGGAACCGCAGAAGGAGTCACATACGGAATCAGGGGACCTTCTGTTGAAATAAACCCTCCCTCCAAGTTTCCTCTCCAGATGTCCCTGCCAGGATGTATCATCATGGCGGGAAGTGCCCGTCTGAGAATCCTCAATCGTGCGGAAGCGCCGTTTTTGGTACTTCAACGCCACGAAGTAACGTGACTGCTGCATCAGGAGAATCCTTAATCGCGCCAGAGCGCCATTCGTGGGACTTCAACATTGCGAATCGACGACGCTGCAAACCATAATCGTGCCAGAGCACCATTCCTGGGACGTCTCGTGCACGAATCCTTGAAACTGCTGCAAACGTCCCAAACGAGTGCGCGCGGCGCTAAGGCGGGAGCCACGTGTTGAAAAGGAACCGCTCTCCATCTTTCAAACTGTTGCTAATATTTTCTCAAAGCAGTGTTTGCTCTTAGGGATTCTTACAGCTTGTCTAAGGAACTGGGCCTGGCTGTTGGTGCTGCGGCCATGTAGCCGCCTCGTCGCCGCCCCGTCGCCGCCCGTCGTCTGGGCCTGGCTGTTGGTCCGGCGACTATGTAGCCGCCGTCGCCGCCTCGTCGCCGCCCGTCGTCTGGGCCTGGTTGTTGGTCCGCCGCTTGGTGGTTTCCGTCGCCGGCCCGTCGCCGCCTTGTCGCCGCCCGCAGCCTCGTCGCCGCGTGTGTTTGGATTGATCTGCGTTATTTTGAAATCCAGTGCGCCTCTTCGCATTGCATTGCATTGCATTTGCATTGTTTCTTTTGCGTTGCTCTGCATTGCTTCGCATGGTCGCTCCGCATGGATGTTCCGCATACGTGAGTATATATATATATATGTATGTACATATACATACACATACTGCACCACATGGGCAGCACAACAACGACTGCACAAACTGCAACAACAATATCGCATCACGTATATTACACAACATGTGTTGCATCACATCGATTTTCCATTCTGAGAAGTAGGTGATCTACAACCCCGTACCCCGGGGTTTGTTGGCACTCCCTGGGATAGCACGATTCAGATATGCTGTTGCCCCACTGTTCGTTCTGGATGTGAATTCGCACATCCCAGCGAAACCCCTGCATCGCCTCCGCATCCTCGCCAACTGATGTTGTGCGCGCGCTCTCGTTTATCCAACGTCATCAGTTTCAGGCATCCTTCGCAGCACGTGACACGGAGTCGACGCGCGCGCGCACCTTCGCGGACGCGCACTGCCGAGCTTATTCTGAAGCCCGCAGTTGCAGCAGGATTTCAATACAGTGGGGGGCGCGTGCCAAGACACCAGTTGGACTTTTGCCAGGGTGCCCTGGGTTTCTTGGATTTCGATGGGCTCCCAATCAGATCCTGACGATCTTCGATCGACACGTGTGGACTTTCACCGAAGAAATCGCGGATCTCAGGGTTGAGTTTCTTGCGGAGGTGTCTTGTGGCCGAGCCCCCACTGTATCGAATTTTCCGAGCACATAGAAAACATTTGCTTGCAACATGAATCTTCAAAGATTTCGCGGCCGCCCTTGCGCATTCTTACGACAACCGCATGTTTTCAACATGCTGATCGCTTCGACCGAGCGGGCCTCCCGCGCGCGCAGGTCGAAATCATTCGGACGCCCTTGCGAGCTTGTTGGGAGGGGGGCGCGGTCCCTGTCAAATGCCACTCTGCGGGCCATTCGCGCCCGTCGGCCGCGCGCGCATGTCTAAATCCTCCCAAAACCTTCATGACCGACACGCGGACACTACCATCGTCATCGGCGTGACCAGCATTTGCGCCATCACTGGCCTTGCCGTAGTCAATGCCATCGTCGCCACCAGCATCCAGCATCGCTACTATCATCATCGTGCCTGCCGTTGTCGACGTCGCCATGATACCGCGCTCGCCCGAGTCACCGACTCGCATTGAAGGGCCCACGCGTCAGCGCGGCCTGCGAGACGCGTTGGGAAGTGCCCAGCGATCAGCGCCACCGCGGCCGCGTCGGTCGCGCCAAACTAGCTGGCCGCTCTGCGCGCGAGCCTGCGCGCGTTAGCACGGCCGCAGCGACGCGCCAGCCAGCGCCAAGCCGTCATCGCAATCGCAACCGCATGGGTTTTGCAGGCCAAGTTGCGGGTGGGTGGGTGGGATGATTAAACGAGCATGGGAGGTGGTCACGCGCGGTGTAGGTTAGTAAATTGCACCCTGTACGGTGCCCCACATTGATTGCTCAAGAAAGCCCGCGCAGATTGCTCCACATACGTGGCACAACGTATGTTGTATGACCTATAGTGCACCACATATTTTGCACCGCGTGTATTCCACGGCATATCTCGCCCAACCTACATTGCACACGATTGATTGCACAACATACATTGCACCACAGATACTGCACATCATGTAAGACAACATGTTTTGTGCAACGTGGGCAGTGCAACATATATTGCATAACGTGCCTCATACAGCAAATTCTGGACAACATCAAGTGTGCCACACGTGAGGCACAACAGAGGTTACGCAACCTTTGTGGCACAACATATGTTGTGCCACAAAAATTGCACCACAGAGACGGCACATATGTGGCACAACATAAATTGCTCTAGTCACATTGTTTTGGACCCACGCTTTGGCGGGAACCGTTTTTTGAGAACGGCTTGCCGTTCATTCATGAAACGGCTGCGGAGAAGAATTTTCGAGGCCATAACAAAGTTTTGAATACGATCTGCTCTTTTTCGAAACTGCTGCAAACTTTCAGTCCGAACTTCTCGGCGCTAGAAGGCGATAGCCACATTTTGAAAACGACCCGCTTTCAACTTTCAAGTCGCAGGGTCAAAATTGATGAGGAAGCTGGCGGCGAAACGCCGAGCCCGCCTTACCCACTCCTGTGGATGCGACAGGGAAGAGTTACTCATAAGAAAAAGGAATTGGGAAGGGCGGGGCGCGGAGGAGAAGGAGAGAGGACGAGTGTTTCTTGGAGGAGGTGGAGGAGCAGCGGCAGAAGGGTCTCGACGAGCGGGGCGATGCACGAGCAGGACGAGGAGGGGGGACGGGCGCAGGAAGGGGAGGGGCAGGAAAAGCAAAGGTGGCAAAGGTGCAGGGTGCGCGTGCGCGTCGTCGGGCTCCCCCAGCCACCGCCCCGCCCCCGAGGGCGCCCTGCCCCTGCCCGGCGCCGCGGGCGCGGTGGGCTCGCTGGGGCGGCCTGAGGCCGTGGCCCAGGCGGCCTCGCCCGAGGATCGAGGTGTCCGGTCGCCTTTGGCCCTTCCTGGGGGCCCTCGAGGCTTCGGGGGGGCCTCGGGAGAAGGGGGGGACCTCGGGAGGCCTCGCCGTCGTTCCTGCTGCTTCCAGGCCGCCCAGGTTCGCCATGAGGAGGAGGGGCGCCGCTTGGCACAATGGATTCTCGAAGAGGCCCACGCAGTGGTGCCATCAGCGCCAGTCGTAGAAGCAGCAGTTCCAGGTTGATTCTATTCCGTTGGCGGCCTGGGCACATTTGCAAGCTGCCCGCCCCGTTGAGCTTAGGAAGGGAAGGAACCGCAAAAGGAGTCACATACGGAGTCAGGGGTCCTTCTGTTGCAACAAACACGTTTCCTCTCCAGATGTCCCCACCAGGATGTATTATCATGGCGGGAAGGGCCCGCCTCAGAGTCCTCAATCGTGCCGAGGCGCCATTTGTGGTATATCAACGCCACGAAGTAACGTGACTGTTGCGTCAGGAAATCCTTCATCACGCCAGTGCGCCATTCTTGGGACTTCAACATTGCGAATCATCGACGCTGTCGCGTCTTGACAATCCTATCGTGCCAGAGCACCATTTCTGGGACTTCTCGTGCACGAGTCCTTGGAACTGCTGCAAACGTCCCAAACGTGTGCGTGCGGCGCTACGGCGGGAGCCACGTGTTGAAAAGGAACCGCTCTCCATCTTTCAAACTGTTGCTAATATTTTCTCAAAGCAGTGTTTGCTCTTAGGGATTCTTACAGCTTGTCTAAGGAACTGGGCCTGGCTGTTGGTGCTGCGGCAATGTAGCCGCCTCGTCGCCGCCCCGTCGCCGCCCGTCGTCTGGGCCTGGCTGTTGGTCCGGCGACTATGTAGCCGCCGTCGCCGCCTCGTCGTCGCCCGTCGTCTGGGCCTGGTTGTTGGTCCGCCGCTTGGTGGTTTCCGTCGCCGGCCCGTCGCCGCCTTGTCGCCGCCTGCAGCCTCGTCGCCGCGTGTGTTTGGATTGATCTGCGTTATTTTGAAATCCAGTGCGCCTCTTCGCATTGCATTGCATTGCATTGATTTGCATTGTTTCTTTTGCGTTGCTCTGCATTGCGTCGCATGGTCGCACCGCATGGATGTTCCGCATACGTGAGTATATATATATATATATATATATGTATATGTACATATACATACACATACTGCACCACATGGGCAGCACAACAACGACTGCACAAACTGCAACAACAATATCGCACCACGTATATTACACAACATGTGTTGCATCACATCGATTTTCCATTCTGAGAAGTAGGTGATCTACAACCCCGTACCCCGGGGTTTGTTGGCACTCCCTGGGATAGCACGATTCAGATATGCTGTTGCCCCACTGTTCGTTCTGGATGTGAATTCGCACATCCCAGCGAAACCCCTGCATCGCCCCCGCATCCTCGCCAACTGATGCTGTGCGCGCGCTCTCGTTTATCCAACGTCATCAGTTTCAGGCATCCTTCGCAGCAGCACGTGACACGGAGTCGACGCGCGCGCGCACCCTCGCGGACGCGCACTGCCGAGCTTATTCCGAAGCCCGCAGTTGCAGCAGGATTTCAATACAATGGGGGGCGCGTGCCAAGACACCAGTTGGACTTTTGCCAGGGTGCCCTGGGTTTCTTGGATTTCGATGGGCTCCCAATCAGATCCTGACGATCTTCGATCGACACGTGTGGACTTTCACCGAAGAAATCGCGGATCTCAGGGTTGGGTTTCTTGCGGAGGTTTCCTGTGGCCCCGGCCCCCACTGTATCGAATTTTCCGAGCACATAAAAAAAACCTTGCTTGCAACATGAATCTTCAAAGAATTCGCGCCCGCCCTTGCGCATTCTTACGACAACCGCATGTTTTCAACATGCTCATCGCTTCGACCGAGCGGGCCTCCCGCGCGCGCAGGTCGAAATCATTCGGACGCCCTTGCGAGCTTGTTGGGAGGGGGGCGCGGTCCCTGTCAAATGCCACTCTGCGGGCCATTCGCGCCCGTCGGCCGCGCGCGCATGTCTAAATCCTCCCAAAACCTTCATGACCGACACGTAGACACTACCATCGTCATCGGCGTGACCAGCATTTGCGCCATCACTGGCCTTGCCGTAGTCAATGCCATCGTCGCCACCAGCATCCAGCATCGCTACTATCATCATCGTGCCTGCCGTTGTCGACGTCGCCATGATACCGCGCTCGCCCGGGTCACCGACTCGCATGGAAGGGCCCACGCGTCAGCGCGGCCTGCGAGACGCGTTGGGAAGTGCCCAGCGATCAGCGCCACCGCGGCCGCGTCGGTCGCGCCAAACTAGCTGGCCGCTCTGCGCGCGAGCCTGCGCGCGTTAGCACGGCCGCAGCGACGCGCCAGCCAGCGCCAAGCAGTCATCGCAATCGCAACCGCATGGGTTTTGCAGGCCAAGTTGCGGGTGGGTGGGTGGGATGATTAAACGAGCATGGGAGGTGGTCACGCGCGGTGTAGGTTAGTAACTTGCACCCTGTAGGGTGCCCCACATTGATTGCACAAGAAAGCCCGCGCAGGTTGCTCCACATACGTGGCACAACGTATGTTGTACGACCTATAGTGCACCACATATTTTGCACCGCGTGTATTCCACGGCATATCTCGCCCAACCTACATTGCACACGATTGATTGCACAACATACGTTGCACAACAGTTACTGCACATCATGTAAGACAACATGTTTTGTGCAACGTGGGCAGTGCAACATATATTGCATAACGTGTCTCACACAGCAAATTCTGGACAACATCAAGTGTGCCACACGTGAGGCACAACAGAGGTTATGCAACCTTTGTGGCACAACATATGTTGTGCCACAAAAATTGCACCACAGAGACTGCACATATGTGGCACAACATAAATTGCTCTAGTCACATTGTTTTGGACCCACGTTTTGGCGGGAACCGTTTTTTGAGAACGGCTTGCCGTTCATTCATGAAATTGCTGCGGAGAATAATTTTCGAGGCCATAACAAAGTTTTGAATACGATCTGCTCTTTTTTCGGAACTGCTGCAAACTTTTAGTCCGAACTTCTCGGCGCTAAAAGGCGATAGCCACATTCTGAAAGCGACCCGCTTTCAACTTTCAAGTCGCAGGGTCAAAATTGATGAGGAAGCTGGCGGCGAAACGCCGAGCCCGCCTTACCCACTTCTATGGGTGCGACAGGGAAGAGTTACTCATAAGAAAAAGGAATTGGGAAGGGCGGGGCGCGGAGGAGAAGGAGAGAGGACGAGTGTTTCTTGGAGGAGGTGGAGGAGCAGCGGCAGAAGGGTCTCGACGAGCGGGGCGATGCACGAGCAGGACGAGGAGGGGGGACGGGGGCAGGAAGGGGAGGAGCAGGAACAGCAAAGGTGGCAAAAGCGCAGGGTGCGCGTGCGCGTCGTCGGGCTCCCCCAGCCACCGCCCCGCCCCCGAGGGCGCCCTGCCCCTGCCCGGCGCCGCGGGCGCGGTGGGCTCGCTGGGGCGGCCTGAGGCCGTGGCCCAGGCGGCCTCGCCCGAGGATCGAGGTGTCCGGTCGCCTTTGGCCCTTCCTGGGGGCCCTCGAGGCTTCGGGGGGGCCTCGGGAGAAGGGGGGGACCTCGGGAGGCCTCGCCGTCGTTCCTGCTGCTTCCAGGCCGCCCAGGTTCGCCATGAGGAGGAGGGGCGCCGCTTGGCACAATGGATTCTTGAAGTTGCAGTCCCACGTCGATCATACTCTCTTGGCGGCCTGGGCGCATTTGCAAGCTGCCCGCCCCGTTGCTCTTAGGGGGGGAAGGAACCGCAGAAGGAGTCTCATACGGAATCAGGGGACCTTCTGTTGCAATAAACCCTCCCTCCAAGTTTCCTCTCCAGATGTCCCTGCCAGGATGTATCATCATGGCGGGAAGTGCCCGTCTGAGAATCCTCAATCGTGCCGAAGCGCCGTTTTCGGTTGCAGACCAAATTGCGGGTGGGTGGGTGGGTGGGATGATTCAACGAACATGGGAGGTGGTCACGCGCGGTGTAGGTTAGTAAATTGCACCCTGTAGGGTGCCCCACATTGATTGTACAACAAAAACCGCGCAGATTGCTCCACATACCTGGCACAACGTGTATTGTACGACCTATAGTCACATGCATTGCACCGCGTGTATTCCACTGCATATTTCGCACAACCTAGATTGCACACAACTGATTGCACAACATACATTGCACAACATATTCAGCATATCATATACGACACAACATGTGTTGCGCAACGTGGGCCGTACACCATATGTTGGTTGCATAACGTGTTTCACACAACAATCATTGGACTACATCTATTGTGCCACATGTGATGCACAACATAGGTTGCGCAACATTGGTGGCACAACATATGTTGTGCCACAAATATTGCACCACAGAGACCGCACATATATGGCACAACGTCAATATGTATGATCACAGTGTGTTGGACCCACGCTTTGGCGTAAACCGTTTTTTGAGAACGGCTTGCCGTTCTTTCATGAAACGGTTGCGGCTTTGCAGAATAATCTTCGAGGCGATAACAAAGTTTTGAAAACGACCCGCCCTCTGCTTTTGAAGCTGCTGCCAACTTTTAGACCGAACCTCTCGCTGCTAGAAGGCGATGTCCACATTCTGAAAGCGACCCGCTTTCATCTTTCAAGTCGCAGGGTCAAGATTGATGAGGAAGCTGGCGGCGAAACGCCGAGCCCGCCTTACCCACGCCTGTGGATGCGACAGGGAAGAGTTACTCATAAGAAAAAGGAATCGGGAAGGGCGGGGCGCGGAGGAGAAGGAGAGAGGACGAGCGGTTCTTGGAGGAGGTGGAGGAGGGAGCAGCGGCAGAAGGGTCTCGACGAGCGGGGCGATGCACGAGCAGGACGAGGAGGGGGACGGGGGCAGGAAGGGGAGGAGCAGGAACAGCAAGGGTGGCAAAGGTGCAGGGTGCGCGTGCGCGTCGTCGGGCTCCCCCAGCCACCGCCCCGCCCCCGAGGGCGCCCTGCCCCTGCCCGGCGCCGCGGGCGCGGTGGGCTCGCTGGGGCGGCCAGAGGCCGTGGCCCAGGCGGCCTCGCCCGAGGATCGAGGTGTCCGGTCGCCTGTGGCCCTTCCTGGGGGCCCTCGAGGCCTCGGGGGGCCCTCGGGAGAAGGGGGGGACCTCGGGAGGCCTCGCCGTTGTTCCTGCTGCTTCCAGGCCCGCCAGGTTCGCCATGAGGGAGAGGGGCGCCGCCTGGCACAATGCACCCCTGTATGCGCGTACAGTCGGGGCGCTGAAGAAGGAACCCTTTTCGTTGGGGAGGGGCTCCGTGTTCCTTAAGTGTTTCGCATTTTGCCTTGGATTTTCCTCAGGTTTCCGATATGAAATCGAAGTTCAACTTATGGAAAATAGGGGCCTCGTTCCTCATCTAGGGTTCCTCAGGTCAACGCCTCGACTGTATGTGTGTGTCTGTGGGCGTGCGTGAGTACATCCAGTTGCGCTGCCGCACGTATTGGTCACCGCGCTTGCGAGAGAGGCCTTGCGAGAACGAGGCTGCAGTGCGGCAAGGCATGCGCTGAATTGCGCGACGCATTGACTGCACCACACCGACTGAATGAAGCACCCACGTTTAGGGCAACAAACAACGACATAAACACAACAACTAGGAGGTCTGCTCAGATTTCTCGGACCGGCGCTGGAGCCACTGGAGCCCCCTGGCGGCGCCTGCGCGCCAGGGAGGGGGGTCAGCGCGGATCCGAGAAACCCGTGCTGACCTTTGAGTTGTTATGTTTATGTAAATGTTTGTTCCCATATGTTGCACCACATCGATTGCGACGGCCTCGGAATGCGCTGGTGAAAGTGTGCAAGGGAAGGGCGTCATAATTGAAAAGTAGCCTGTGCTGGTGCAGCTGGGTAGGGAACGGACATGAAAATGAGACGCAATTTTTGTCGACGTTGCTTGCTGCGTGTGTCGATGCCCTCGCGGGGCCTCTCGAAGACCTCGTCACGGGGGCCATTCGGGAGGCTCTCGGGGGCTTCTTGGCGGCTTCTCGAGGGCGTCACGGAGCCTCGTGGGGCCTCTTGGGGATCTCGTGATGTTTCCTGAGGCTTCTTCTCGTGGAGCTTCTTGGGCATTTTTGGGAGCCTCTTGGGGGCGTCGCGGGGGCCTCCTGTGCCGTCTTGGAACTGTTGGGGGACCCCTCGGCACGTCATGGACGCTGCGAAGACAAGGCAAGAACATGACAATTGCGCAAAAGTTGTGGAAGTCGATTAATGGAGAGGCATGCTGCCAAATAATCTCCAGATGTTTCAAACATGTTTCAAACACGTTTTAAAAATGTAACAAAATGTTTGAATCATGTTTAGAACACATGTTACACATGTTAAGCACATGTTTAATTCAATGATCGGATTGTTAGAGTGGCCACTGTCATGGCATCCACAACGCAAAGGCCATCTGAGTTTGCCTTGTCGCTACCTCTCGTCGGCGTCCTGGGGGGCGTCTTCTTGTTGGCCTCTTGGGCCTTCGTGGAACCCCACCGCGCCAATTTTACCGGACGCCTGGGGCCGGGGTGGAGACCACCGTGTCCGACTGGGGGGCCAGACGCGCCGCCACGAGAACACGGGGCAAGGGGAGGGGGCGGGCGGGCGCCCCGAAGGGGTACGGTCCACGGACCGGTGCGTCCGTTTATGCAGCACTTGGACCGTCTCGGGGGCGGAAAAGAGGGGGGTGATGACTAGGAGGGGGGGATTTCATGGCGCGGGCCATGATTTTTCCTCAGATTTCATGGCGCCTCTTCTTAGTTCATGACGTCCCAGGCCCCCCCGCTGGGCCGCGCACATGCCGCCGGTCATGATTTGCACCCCCCTCTCTTGGACACCCCCTTCTTGGCCGCTCCCGACCGTCTGTTGGACGGGAAGGCCGATCAACTCTGCAGGGACGTGCGTCTAAGACTGAGTGCGCGTTGGGTTCGGTGCGTCGTGGAGGGGGAGGCAACGAGTGCTTCGCAAGAGTCAAGATCTATAAAAAGGACATGTCCGACACGCTCCAGCCTCTGCAATCGCCGTGGCGCTCCTTCGCAACGGGGAGCGCGCGCTGGAGTCGCATGCTCGCGCCAAGCACGGCGGATCCGTTGTGTCGCCAGCAGCACCTGCCCGCTTTGTGGCACCGACTCCAGAGATCGCTTGCGGCTCATAGCTCATCTGTCACCACCCCCACCGAACCACCCCAACCCAACCCGAAGGTCTCGATTTGCTCTCCATTTCCAGTTGGGGGGTGTCGGGGAACATCGAGAAAACACACATGGAACCCGTAACCCCCCCCAACCCGAAATTCGGGTCTTCGGGTTGGGTTGGGGTGGTCTGGTAGATAGTCAATCTGTCTGAGCGTGGGCGACCCCGGGGGCCCAGCCTGGTTCCTCGCCAACTGTCCCCGGCGTCGGGCGACTGTGCAGCGGCGCTCGACAAGGAGGACAGCGCCTCTCGCACTGCTGCGCAGTGGGCTGGGCGCTCCCAGCTTCCTGCTCGCCGCGCCAGCGGTGCCATCGTCGGGCGCACCAGTGCTTGACGCGCTTGGCATCGCTCGGACGTGTGCATTTTCTGTCGGCACGGGCCGTCGCGGAGCATTTTTGCTCACGCTGCGAAACAAATGCACGCACGAGACCGAAAAATGCAAAGGGAATGGACGTCCAAGCGATGGCGAGCGGTCTGGGCGCGCGCGCGCCGCGATTCGGCAGCACGGCGATCCCACTCCTTGGGACAGCATGTGCGCCGAGCTGCTATCCCACCAGGTGGAATAACGATTCTTGCTTGCATCTGGAGACTGTCATGCCCCTAGCACTAAGATCATATACATATATATATACACAGATACACGTATGAGTATGTGTGTATGGTTCCAGCCCTCATCCTCCATCCAACGCGAGGGGTCTGGGGACTTGTTGTTTTGAGCGGAGCGTGGCCGGGGGCGCGACTCTTGAATGGCGGCCCTCGCCTTCATTTCCAAGTCATGCCAAGTCGTGCGGCCTCGTCTCTTCTTCGACGTCTGCATCCTTCTGATTCCCAGCCATCCTGTGTTGGGTTCGCGTTTTGAAGAGACAGCGCCCCGCGTCTCCTCCTTCCTCCTCCCCCTGCGTGCTTCTGCCCTCCGCATGCCCATTTCGGCACCCCTCGCACGTCTGGTGGCCCCATAGGGAGCTCCGCCGAAGGCCCAAGTGGCTGCGGTCGCATGGCACCACCGCGCCCATTTCGGCACGCCCCTTACACGCTTCGTGGCCCCATGGAGAGCTCCGCCGCAGGCCCAAGTGGCTGCGTTCGCATGGCACCACCGCACCCATTTTGGCACGCCCCTCACACGGTTCGTGGCCCCATACGGAGCCCCACCGAAGGCCCAAGTGGCTGCATTCGCATGGCACCACCGCGTCCATTTCGGCACACCCCTCGCACGTCTGGTGGCCCCATCGGGAGCCCCACCGAAGGTCCAAGTGGCTGCTTTCGCATGGCACCTCCGCGCCCATTTCGGCACGCCCCTCACACGTTTCGTGGCCCCATGGGGAGCTCCATTGACGACCCAAGTGGCTGCGTTCGCATGGCACCACCGCGCTCATTTTGGCACGCCCCTCACACGTTTCGTGCCCCCATACGGAGCCCCACCGAAGGCCCAAGTGGCTGCATTCGCATGGCACCACCGCGCCCATTTCGGCACACCCTTCGCACGTTCCGTGGCCTCATGAGAAGCTCCACCGAAGGCCCAAATGGTTGCGTTCGCGTGGCACCACCGTACCCATATCGGCATACGTACACCTCACACGCTTGGTGGCCCCATAGGGAGTTCCACCGAAGGCCCATGGGGGTTGCGTTCGCATGGCACCACCGCAGCCATTTCGGCACACCCCTCACACGTTTCGTGGCCCCAAAGGGGGCCCCCACCGAAGGCCCATGGGGGTTGCGTTCGCATGGCACCACCGCGCCCATTTCGGCACGCCCCTCGCACGTTTGGTGGCCCCATAGGGAACCTCACTGAAGGCCCAAGCGGCTGCGGTCGCATGGCACCACCGCAGCCATTTCGGCACACCCCTCACACGTTTCGTGACCCCATAGGGAGCTCCACGGAAGGCCCAAGTGGCTGCCTTTGCATGGCACCACTGCGTCTTCTTCGGTATACCCCTCACACGTTCCGTGGCCCAGGAGTCGCGCTGTCTCGTGATCGGCTCCCCGTCTATGTCCTTATTGGCGTCGCAACCGCGCATTTCCCAACCATCCGGTGGTGTTAGGCCCCCGTTTGGAAGAGACAGCGCCTCGCGTCTCCTCCTCGCTCCCGTTCCTCCCCGCTCCCACTCCCCCCCCGATCCCCTACTCTGCCCCCCGCACTGGCCAACCATTTTGGCACACACACACACCTCACGCGCTTCGTGGTTCCACAGGGAGCCCCACCGAATGCCAGCATGCAGGCGTTCACATGCGACCGCCGCATCCAATTTCGGCACACCCTCACACGACGTTTTGTGGCCCCACAGGGAGCCCCACCGCCGGCCCGAGCGGCCGCGTTCGCTAGCATGCCAGCGTTCGCGTGCGGCCACCGCGCCCCATGTTGGCACACCCCTCGCACGTCTGGTAGCCCCATTGGGAGCTCCTCCGAATGCGGTGCATACAACGACGGATTCACACTTGCATCATAATGGGTTCTTCGCTCGGCTAATTGCTTGAAAAGGTATGCGCATTAGTATGTCCAACAATAATATTCTTGCTGTTGGTACTACGATCACAATAATTATCATTAATTTTAGCAGTTCTATTGTTATTATTCGCATTATTACTGATATTATTCGTATCGGCAGTATTGTTATAATTTCTACTACTAGTATTCCTGATATTCGTCTTCTCAGCGTCGTGTCGGGTGGACTCTTCTCGTCTTCATTGGTGTACGCTTTCTCTTCCGTCCTTTCTTGGGCTCCTAGGGGGCAGTCTTGGGAGTCATTTCGGCCATTGTGGGCGATCTTCGGGCCCTCTTGGGCCGTCTTGGGGCTCTCTTTGGCTCCTTTGCGGCCTTCTTGGTCGTCTTGGGGGTTTCTTGCGGCCGTCGTTGGGCATTGGTATTTTTCCCAACCATCATGTGGTGTTGGGTCTTCGTTTTGAAGAGACAGCGCCCCGCGTTCTCCTCCTCTCCTCTCCTCCTCCCCCTCCTCACATCCCTTCCTATGCTTTTCGCATGTCATCAGCATCGTTACCATTAGCATCACCATCATCAGTATCATCACCACCACCATCATCAGCAGCAGCAGCATCGTCATCGTCATCGTCATCATCGTCATCATCATCCTCATCATCATCATCCTCATCATCACCATCATCATCATCATCATCGTCATCATCATCATCATCATCATCATCATCATCATCGTCATCATCATCATCATCATCATCATCATCATCATCATCATCATCATCATCATCATCATCATCATCATCATCATCATCGTGATCGTCATCGTGATCGTCATCGTCATCGTCACCCCCGTTTCGGCACACCCTTCACACGGTTCGTGGCCCCCTTGGGAGCTCCAATTAAGGCCCAAGTGGCACCGTCCGCATGTGGGCGTCAACCCCGTTTCGGCACACTGCTCACACGTTTCGCGGCTCCACAGGGAGCTCCAGCTAAGGCCCAAGTGGCATCGTCCGCACGTGGGCGTCACCCCTGTTTCGGCACACCCCTCACACGCTTCGTGGCCCCATAGGGAGCTCCACCCAAGGCCCCAGTGGCACCGTCCGCATGTGGGCGTCACCCCTGTTTCGGCACACATTCACACGTATTATAGCTCCACAGGGAGCTCCAGCTGAGGCCCCAGTGGCACCGTCCGCATGTCGGCGTCACTCCGTTTCGGCACACCCCTCAGACGCTTTGTGGCTCCACAGGGAGCTCCAGCTGAGGCCCCAGTGACACCGTCCGCATGTGGGCGTCACCCCTGTTTCGGCACACCCTCACAAGTTTCGTGGCCCCCATAGGGAGCCCTGGCTACGGTCCAAGTGGCACAGCCCGCATGCGGGCGGTGCCTCATAAGGAGTTTCACCTAAGGCGGTACAGTCGGGGCCCTGAAGAAGGACCCTTGTTGTTGGGGAGGGGCTCCGTGTTCCTTAGTTGCTTTACAGTGCTCCTTGGGTTAGCCGGAGGTTTTCCATGGAAAATCGGAGTTAATTGTATGGGAAAAAGGGGCCTCGTTCCTTATGTTTCGTTCCTTAGGTCAACGCCTCGACTGTACTCACAATTACGGTACTCACAGCTGCATATGGTTTGGGTTCTTCGCCAGGCTAAGTTTCTGCAGCTCTTTGCCTCAGACGCTGCACGCCTGGACAGATCAGGGAAGGTGGGTTATGATTGCATACCATTGGAAAGGGGGATAGCAAGACAACACCAGGCATAGCAGCGCGTCGCTCAGCTGCTGCGGCACGTGCAGTTCGTTCCCTCCTCTTCGATCGGATCCCTCTTGATCATCATGGCTGTTACGAAGGCGTTGGGTCGTCAGTTGCCTCCTCCTCGCAAGCCGCCTGGCTGGCGCATACGATGTGCCCTTTGGGCCCTCTCCTCCTCCCCCTCCTCCTCCTCCTCCTCCTCCTCCTTTTCTTGCTCTCTGGGCACGCCTCTTTCTGCTGCGCCTGCCGAGTCAAGTTTGTGCTTCGCACCGCTACGTTGACGCTCGTTTCTGTTGTCTTGCATCCTATAGCGCCCCATGCTGTGGCGTCAAATTCGCGCAACGTCAAAGGGGAGGAGGAGGAGGAGGAGGAGGAGGAGGAGGAGGAGGAGGAGGAGGAGGAGGCGAAGGAGGAGGAGGAGGACGAGGAGGAGGAGGAGGAGGAGGAGGGGGAGGAAGAGGAGGAGGAGGAGGAGGAGCAGGAGGAGGAGAGGAGGAGGAGGAGGAGGAAGAGGAAAGCAGGAGGAGGACGACACAGCCCCGAGGGCGCCCTGCCCGTGCCTGGCTCCGCGGACGCGGATGGCGCGCTGGGGTGGCTGGATGCCCTGGACCAGGCGCCCTCGCTCGCGGATCGAGGTCTCTGGCCGCGTTCGGTCTTGCGGGGGGCCCCTGGGTGGGGCTTCCAGGCAGGGGGGCCTTCCGGAGAGACCCGCTCGGCGTCAGCCCAACGCGCTGCTACTAGGTGTGCGTCGCCCCCCCCCAGGAGCGACTCGCGTGCCCAGAAATCTTAGAGTAGAAGCTCCGTGGCGGGCGTTTTCTGGCCATACCGCTCGGGAAACGATGCACTACAAGATGATTGCACTATATGTTCAGGTCGGGCGCACGCTTCCGAGGAGGACACATAGTATTAGCATCTCCTTGTGCGTACCACCTTCTGTCAGGGGAGGGAAAATCACCCCGACACCCAGAACTGGCGTTTACTAAACAGCCCTGGGCGTTGACTGAGCAGCCCTGTCCTGTTCGATTTCTTCCCTGGGTGCGTTTACCAAATGGCCTCGCTTATCGGGGTGCTTCTGACGAGGGTATTTCTTTTACTCTCTACTCTGGGGCTCGGCCCTGCTTGGAGGCTCTGGGGGGTCCCCGAGAACTAGTCACCCCTGGAGGCGCGAAGATGATCGCGCTCCGCGCGGCGCGGCCTGGGCTGGAGATCTGCCATTCTCCTGGGCGGCCTCGCGGGGGCGCGAAGATAACCGCGCATCGCGGGGCGCGGTGCGCGAAGCGGTGTGACTCAGGAGAGGCCTCCAGTCGCCTCCAGGGACCTCGCGAGGCCTCGCCTTCGTTCCTCCCACCTCCACGGGCCCCGGATGCCCCGTGAGGGCGAGGGGCCCAGGAGGAGGAGGAGGCGGCGGCGGAGGCGGCGGAGGAGGAGGCGGAGGAGGAGGAGGAGGAGGAGGAGGAGGAGGCGGAGGAGGAGGAGGAGGAGGCGGCGGCGGAGGCGGAGGAGGAGGAGGAGGAGGAGGAGGAGGAGGAGCAGGAGGAAGAGGAGGAAGAGGAGGAAGAAGAAGACGACGACGAAGACGAAGACGAAGAAGAATAATAATAAGAAGAGGAGGAGGAGGAGGACCCACGCCCCTTCCTACTTAGGGTGGTGGCGGTGGAAAACAAGCCCACCATCGCCGATGCATCGGCGATGCTGCGCGATCCCGAGTCTGATCTGCTCCATCCCGACGTCGTCGCCCATGCATCGCCGACCAATCGGCGACGCGGTATGGTTCCCTGGCCCCATGTGGGCGGCCTCCACCTATCCGATCCAGGCGATCCAGACGAGCCCCCCGCCCACACTAGAACGGGCTTGGGAATCCGGCCCCGATACCGAATCTATATGGTCAGAAGGGGGGCACGTTGTTTTCCAAGTTGGCTCTAGTCGGCCAGATTTGGCGTGCCGATCGATGCTCGTGTTGCAGCTGCCCTTCCTCCTCCCTTCCGTATTCCTCCATACTCCGTCATGCCCCATCCTTCCTCCCTCCTCCCTATCCTCCCTGCCCAGAAAGCAGGACGGCGCGACCTCTCGCAGATCTGGCTCCCACATGTGATGCGTGCTTTTCTGCACCCAGGTGATCACATGGAGGTGGAATGTGGTGAGGACAAGGAGGTGAAGTGGGTGGGCGGCGCGCGCAAGGGATTGTCAGGAGTAGAAAAAACAGACACAATTAGTCGTCGACCCCCAGGAAAATATGGGAAAATATTGGAAGTGGTGGGGAAGACAGAAACCCAGAAAATATGGCAAAATATGGGGAATATTTTTATTTGTGTATTTATTTGTGTGTCCTGTGGCCCCTTTAGATTTGGCGCGACAGGGGAGGCCATCTCAGAGGGAAAGGGTCTTCTTAGAAGCCCTCCCGCCTTTTCATGAGCCTCTGATCCCTCTCAGAGGCCCTCTGCTGCTGCGTCAAGGACGAGGGCGAACACGATGACAACGACGAGGACGACGACGAGGACGAGGCCGACGCCGACGCCGACGACGACGACGAAGGCGACGCCAACGGAAGCCCCCTGCCTTCCAAGGAAGGTCGCCACTCGCCACCGCGTCAACCACCACACCTTGGCGCACCAACAAGTGGGAGCGGGAGATGGAATGGGAGTCGGAACATTGGATAACCCGCAGTGGCGCGAAGATAATCGCGACTCGCGGCCTGGGCCGGACAGTTGCCTTTCCCCAGGGTGGCCTCGTGATTGCGAGAAGATAACAGTTCATCGCGTGGCGCGACGCGCGAAGTTGGGCGACCTGGGGGTGGGAGTCAAGTTGATCAGACAGTTTGGCCTCATCAGCATCGGTCGAGGCTAGGAGCAGGGATAGATCGTTCCAGAGAGCTCCAGAGCGCTCCGAGAAGGCCGCGGTGCCCGACGCATCCTCCAGGACCGCCAGAGATCTCAGAGGCCCCCGACCTCTCCCTGTCCGACTGTGCCCCCGTGCTGGCCTCGTCCTCTTGCAGCAGGCGCCCCCCGCTCCCCACCCTCCGGCGGCGCCCACAGAGGGACGGCGCGGCGGGGGCGGCCTCCTCAGGAGGGCCGGCGCCGTCTTAGAGAGGCCTGGAGGCTCCAGGAAGCCGTCTTCGAAGGCCCGGAGCCTTCCAGAGGCTCTTCGAGGCCTGGAAACCTTCTTAGAAGAGGCCTTCTGGAGGCTTCTAGAGGCTCTTCGAAGGCCCGGAGGCTTCTAGAGGCTCTTCGAGGCCTGGAGGCCTTCTTAGAAGAGGCCTTCTGGAGGCCTGGAGGCTTCTATGGAAGGCCTGAGAAGGCCTTCTATAGAAGCCGGGGCTGCTTCTAAGACGGCCCCCGCCTTCTTGGACGCCCCACCTTTGCCTTCTGAGACGGCCGCCCCCCTCGCGCTACCCCGTTGGTTCGGGGGTGGACGGACCTCCTACAGTGGGGGCGCGCATCAAGAAATCATGTGCTTTTCGTCAGGGTATCTTGGGTTTCTTCGCTCCGCGCGCTGCGCGGTGACTTCCCGCAGCCGTGGAATAAACTGCTGCGTTCAGGGTGCTCCGGGGGCTTCCCCTCAGGTGCACCTCGCGCGCGGGTTTTCAGGGTTGGGTTTCTTGCGAGGGTTTCTTGCGGCCGTGCCAGCACTGTACCCTGACACGTCGATGAAGGAATTGGCCGTTTTCGGCTCGCGAGAGGGCGTCGCGGCCGTCAATTTTGCGGGTCCAGGTCCGTCGGTTTCGGTCCCAGGTCGTTTTCATTAAGGGGAGGTGTACTAAAGGGAGATTTGTCCACCGCCGAAACCCTCCTTCCCATAGTGTCGAAGCCGTCTTCGGCACGGCGCAGCAGGTTGACAGCGCGTGCGATGGGCCGCGCGAACAAAAGCACGACGCGGGGAGCGCTTGGCGAACGGACGGCCGCAGTGCCCCAGATATAAGATCCGCTTTGGTGCGTGGGATCCACTGCGTTCTTGGCGTGACGTTCAACGCGTATGAGACTTATCGCTGGATGGAGGGGATCTCGACAACACGCTGCCTCTTTGGTTTATGCGTTGCTCGCACGCGAAGTGATCGCGGGGTTCAGCCCGCACGTACTTTTGCGCGCCACGGTGTTCACGTGACCGCAGCGATGCCCTCATTGGTGTGCAGATTTTCACGCGACGAAACAGAGCGCACGTCGTGTCACGCTGCATTGATCGCCCGCCCCTGGAGATCAGCGTGCTAAGGCGAGAACAGCGATCTGCTTTCTCACACGAGGCCCTGCCTATGGTGGTTTGGCGGGCCAAAGACGTGAGCCGCGACCGAGCGGGAGCGACAAATCCAATAACACGATGCATGGCGCTGAGATGAGAACAGCATGCCGCTTTGCCGCTTTCCCACATGAGGGTTTGCTTCTGATCCGCTTGGTGGGCCACTTACCTCCGCCGCATTGAAGTGGGATCGTACCGCTCAAGGTTGTTCAGTAGTAGACCTGCTGTTTTATCGCAGGGCATTGATCAGAGTGTGGCCAGCTTCGAAAGACCTCTTCGGGAAACTGGAACGCGTGCCCAGGAGCCCACGGCAGCCTCAACGTTGCCGACCTCATGCTACTACATGGGATGATGGTGTTGCGAGGTGCCAATCCCACCATCAAAGCGGCGGGACCACCCTAAGATCGAGTTAATGCTTACACTTGCCCGAACACTTCAGCAAGTGGTTGAGACCACCATGGACATTATATCATATATCTATATATGTATACATATAAATATATATATAAAGAGTAATTCGCTGGTGTTCCATCACAGTTGGCGCAGATGTCCCAGTGATGCTTCGTATGAAACGCGCGCACCAAACATTTGTACAAGTGTAGCAGGCTAAGTCAACTGCAACGCCACCCTCGACACACGAACGACCTGAGCAAGCTCAGGCGAGGGGAGCTCCCAGGGGTTCCAAGCAGCGTGTGAACACTCCCTGGCCGCTGGACGCAGTTTGTGTTGCCCAGTCGCGGGCCACCTGGGTCACCCATGAAGGGATGCAGATCCTCCTTGGGGCAATGGGGAAACTATCTTGCTGGGCTGCACGGCTGGTCGGCGAGTACCCTCCGGGACGTGATGAGCGACGCGCGACGGGGAGCAGCAAAGGACGAGGCATACGAGGATCGGTTCCGTGTTGCTATTTGTCGCATCAGGCACAGAGAAATGACATGTTCACGGGGGAAGTGCAAGAAGTGGTGGACGTCAAAGAGAAAGATGAGGAGGAGAAGAGGAGGAGGAGAAGAGGAGAAGAGGAGAAGAAGAGAAGAGGAGAAGAGGAGAAGAGGAGAAGAGGAGAAGAGGAGAAGAGGAGAAGAGGAGGAGAAGAGGAGAAGAGGAGAAGAGGAGGAGGAGGAGGAGGAGCAGAGGAGGAGGAGGAGGAGGAGGACGACGACGACGACGACGACGACGACCCCCGAGGGCAGCGGGCGTCTTCTGCCCGCGCGCCAGACCCGTCGCCGGCACCCCGCCTCCGAGCGCGGCTCCCCGCCGCCCCGCGGCGAGGCCGGCCCCGACGCCCCCGTGTGGCACGAGACCGTGGCACCGCGCCCGGCTTGCGCGCCGCGCGGCCCTGCGGGGGGCTTCCCCGCGGCGCGGGCGGCGGCGGCGGCGGAGGAGGAGGAGGAGGAGGAGGAGGAGGAGGAGCAGGAGGAGGAGGAGGAGGAGGAGGAATCATAAGCATAATAATACGACGGCTACTACGAATAGCAATGATAATGGTACTAATGCGAATCATCAGTATAGTAATACGATTAGCCATAATGGTAATATTAATGATCGTCATCGTATTGAATAGTAATAGTAAGAATGATAATACTAATGATACTAATCATAGCTAGAAGAATAAGAAGAAGAAGAAGAAGAGGGGGAGGAGGGAGAAGAGCAGGAGGAGGATGGGGGATGATGATGATGACGATGATGATGACGACGATGATGATGATGATGATGATGATGATGATGATGATGATGATGATGATGATGATGATGATGATGATGATGATGATGATGATGATGATGGTGGTGGTGTGGTGGTGGTGGTGGTGGTGGTGGTGGTGGTGGTGGAGGAGGAGGAGGAGAGGAGGAGGAGGTGGAGGAGCTGCTGCTGCTGCTGCTGATGATGATGATGAGATGATGAGGAGGAGGGAGGAGGAGGAGGAGAAGGAGGAGTATGAGGAGGAGGAGAGTGGTGGCAGGGGGGTCAGGGCGGAGGAGGAGGAGGATAATGGGGAGGGGGGGCATGTAGGAGGAGAGTAGAGGCAGGGGGGTCAGGGCGAAGGAGCAGAAGGAAGATGAGGAGAAGCAAGAGGGGGGCGGAGGAGGAGAGGAGGAGGAGAGGAGGAGGAGGAGGAGGTGGAGGTGCAGGAGGAGGAGGAGAGGGGTGGCATGTATGAGGAGAGTGGAGGCAGGGGGGTCGGGGCGGAGGAGGAGGATGAGGAGGAGGAGGAGAAGGAGGAGGAGGAGGAGGAGGAGAAAGCAGAGGAGGAGGAGGAGGAGGAGGAGGAGAAGAAGCAGGAGCAGGACCAAGACCAGGAGCAGGAGCTGCAGCAGGGGCACGCGTGAAACCAGTCACGAGCAGTAGGGAGAAGAGGGAGTGGCAGTTCGACTACCCCTCTCGTGGAAAGCCCCATTTGGTTTTGTTTTTCGGGGGGTCCGACCCCCCCCCCCTCTCCGCCCGCGTGGAGGGAATCGAACGGAAGGGGCTTCCCTTCGGTTTTCGGCGGTTCCCCACGGGGTGGCGATTTTGCAACGCTCCACCCGGGCTGGTGACGTGGGGCGGTTTCCCTTCGGAGCGCGGGCCTCGTTGGGAACGCTCCGACACGCTGGACTTTGCAAGGGCCTCGTTTGGCAAGGGCTCCCCCGAGGGCGCGAAGTTATTCGCGCTTCGCGCTTCGCGGTCCTCGTTCCTTCTCCCCCCTCCTCCTCGTCCTCCTTTTCTCCCTTTGGGGGGGCGGCGCGAGAGCGCGAAGTTATTCGCGCTTCGCGCTTCGCGCAGCGCGAAGCGCGAAGTTGGGAGCCCTAGGTTTGGCCTCTCACACGCGCCGACATGATTGGCAGATTTCTCAAATCAGGTTTTGCCTACAGTGAGGGCCCATGCCAAGAAACACCCTGCTGGCCTCCAGGGTGCCCTGGGTTTCTTGGGTTTCGATGCCTATGCTGTGGAAAGCGTGACGCTCCCACATCCAAAATCAATAGACGTCTTTGGGTCTCAGGGTTGGGTTTCTTGTGGAAGGTTGTGGTCGGGATCCTGCTGCAAGAGGTCGTGATTTGCGTGTGGCAGAAACCAGTTGGTGCTGAGCCCTTCCCGGCCGTCGTTGCCCTGGATTCCTTGGGACTGCCAGGGGTTGCCCGTGCAACGTAAGCAATGCCAAGCGCCGCCAAGCAATGCGAAGCAACGCCAAGCAGTGCAAAGCGAGGCAAAGCAACGCCATGCAACGATCCCAAGCAGTGCCAAGCAATGTGAAGCAGTGCTAGGCAATGCCGAGCAATGTGATCGTTTTCTTATTCATTGTTTTGCCGATCGGCGCGGGCCCTCGCCCCCTCCCCCCCCCCTGGAGTAGATCTTGGCTGTTCGTGGCGCCCCTTTCAAGAAGAAGGTGGAGTAAGCACGGGGGCCCCGCCTCCCCCGCCCCCACCTTGGTGGACACGCGAGTCGTTTTGTCGCGCAATTGCGCAGTGTGCTTTTGGGGGCGGCCCTCGGGAACAGAAGAAAGGGGCTCCAGGACGCCGGATGCGTTATAAGAAGATCAGATGCCCGGGGTCAGCCAGTTGTTCTGGGGTATTCTGGAAATGCAGATCCTGAAGATTCCAATCGGAGTCCAAATGGATCCTAATTGGATTCTAATTTGATGCGGATTCCCCCAAATGGATTCTAATCGGATTCGGAGAAATCTTCCCCATAGGAGTTCCCCATGGGATTCGTAATGAGATTTCCCCACGAGATTCCCCAGTAGGATTCCCCCATAAGGTTACCCCATAGGACTCACATACAGGATTCGCATAGGACTCCCACATCGGATTTTCCATATTCCCCGTGAGAGTTCCCTCCATAGGAGTCCCCTCTGTTTCAAACAGTTGCGCTAGGCAGAGGTCCTGCGCCAGACCCCCCCTCCCTGTCGCCCGATGTCGAAACGCCGAAGAAGAAAACGTTCACAATGTGTTGCGTTGCGTTGCCTTTCATTTCTGAGACCTGATGTGACTTGCATGGGAAACAGAGCCCGGATCGGGTCACGCTGGGATCATGTCAGGTGGTTGTACGCAGATGGGGCGAGGGCATGGGGAACAGGCGAGAGGATGAAAGGGGGGAGGAGGAGGAGGAGGAGGAGGAGCAGGAGTGAGGAGAAGGAAGAGGAGAAGGAGGCCAATGATGATGATGAGGAGGAGGAGGAGGAGGAGGAGGAGGATGAGGGAGGAGGGAGGAGGGAGGAGGGAGGAGGGAGGAGGAGGAGGAGGAGGAGGAAGAAGAAGAATAATAAGAATAATAAGAATAAGCATAATAATAATAATAATAAGAAGAGGACTGATATCACTATTAATAATGATATTAATAAGAATAAGAATAATAAGAATAAGCATAATAATAAGAAGAAGAAGACGAATAATAAGAATAATAATAATGATAATAAGAAGACGAATAATAATAATAATAATAATAATACTAAGAAGAAGACGAAACATAATAATAATAAGAATAAGACGACTGATACTAATAAAAATAATAATAAGAATAATAATAATAATCAGAAGAAGACGAATAATAATAATATTGATAAGAATAATAATAAGAAGAAGAGGAGGAGGAGGAAGAAGAAGAAGAGGAGGAGGAGGAGGAGGAGGAGGACGAGAAGGAGGAGGAGGCGGGGGGAGAGGCGAGAGGAGGGGAGTGGGAAGGGGGGGGGAAGCGAGCAGGGGAGGGGAGTGGGGGGGGGGGAGTGAGTGCGTGTGTCAGCGCCGCGGCCCTGACCCGCCGCCGAGGCCGAAGTCTTGCCGATGCGGCCCCGGCCCAACCGCCCCAAGAGGCGCCCCGAGCGAGCGGGCGCGCGCGCCTCCTCCTCCTCCTCCTCCTCCTCCTTCTCCTCCTCCTCCTACTACTTCTGCTACTGGTATTTTTCCCCACGTCCAAAGTGGGGTTCTCGTTTTCTCTGGATACCCCGCGCAGGAACCTCCTCACCTCACCCCCTCTCCTCTTCTGTCTTCGTGCGCTCACTCACTCGCTCACTAGCCCACTCACTAGCTCACTCACTCACTCACTCACTCACTCACGCACTCACTCACTCACTCACTGACTCATCAGCACTCACTCACTCACACGCTCATATCCTCACATATGATGATGATGATGATGATGATGATGATGATGATGATGATGATGATGATGATGATGATGATGATGATGATGATGATGATGATGATGATGATGATGATGATGATGAGCGCGATGATCAGTCAGTCAGTCAGTCACTCACTCACTCACTCGCCTTGGGCCTCGTCTGTGAGTGAATTGCGAGGAAGTCTCAAGCGGGAGCCCCCTCCCTATGGGGCCCGCTGATCATGTTACTAATCCGAGCGGGCCATCAAATTCCTGTAACTGTCGCCACTTTTGGGCCCTCGCGCTGCCAGAACGCCACTCCCAGGCCACATTTTGAATGCTCAGTCACTCACTCACTCACTCACTCGCCTTGGGCTTCGTCTGTGAGTGAATTGCGAGGAAGTCTCCAGCGGGAGCCCCCTCCCTATGGGGCCCGCTGATCATGTTACTAATCCGAGCGGGTCATCCAATTCTTGTAACTGTCGCCACTTTTGGGCTCTCGCGCTGCCAGAACGCCACTCCCAGGCCACATTTTGAATGCTCACTCACTCATTCACTCACTCACTCACTCACTCACTCACTCGCCTTGGGCCTCGTCTGTGAGTGAATTGCGAGGAAGTCTCAAGCGGGAGCCCCCTCCCTATGGGGCCCGCTGATCATGTTACTAATCCGAGCGGGTCATCAAATTCCTGTAACTGTCGCCACTTTTGGGCTCTCGCGCTGCCAGAACGCCACTCCCAGGCCACATTTTGAATGCCCAGAGCCAACTGTAGGCCACTTCGTGTTCTTCGTGCTCCCAGAACCTCATTCTGCTCCTGCTGGGCCAGGGCGGCCGGGGAAGACGCACGTCGTGCAGAAGATCGTCTTCCGAATGGTGGAATACGTGTGGCCCTCGCCAGCGCCGGACAGGGCCAGCATGATGGTCGTGGCTTTCTCGACCGCGCAGGCGAAGAACATCTCCTCCGAGACTGTCAAAGCCAGAAGGCTGCACAATGCCTGTGCCATGCGAGTTCAGAAGTACACCAACGCGAAGCTGCGGCCGGGGGGCATGCAGAAGAGGCTGAAGTGGTTGTGGGAGCACGTCCGCGTTCTTGCCATCGAGGAGAGAAGCATGGTGGCAGCCGCGCTGTACTACGCGCTGGACCTTCGCGCCTGCCACGGACGCAGTGACACGCACGACGTGCAGGAGTCGAACTACCAGCGGCCACACCACCACTTCGGGCGCGTGCCCATCGTGTTGCACTTCGGCGATTTCCTGCAGCTGAAGCTCACCGGCAGCATTGGCCTCCTGACGGACGTGAACGAGCGCCTGGACGACGACGAGTCGTACAGGTACGCGGACCCGCCGACGGTGGAGATCCAGCACGCCATCAAGGTCTTCTCTAAGATCCCCTGCGTCTTCGAGCTGAAGGGCACGAAGCGCTTCGAGCCTGGGAGCCCGCTGATCACGCTCCTGGGCTGCATGCGCGAGGGCAAGCCCTTCCCGCCGGAGGTCTGGTCCGCCTGGGAGAAGACGTTGGCCACAGACAACCGCGGCGTCCTGGACCCTCGGCACCAGCACGAGAACTTTCGGTTCGGCTACGGCATAGGCATCTGCTGGGACGCGCTTGCGAGGTGGATGAACACGCGCGCTCGTCGCGACGCTCGGCGTCTGGGCGTGCCCCTCGTTTTCCTGCAGGCCGTTGACGAGTGCGGCGCGATTCAGGGCGACCCCGACGCGGGTCGGCGCCTCCTGAACGTCCCGAACATGCACAAGACGGGGGACATCCACGGCGCCTTGCCGGCCCGCGTCGGAATGGAGGTGCGGTTCACGGCAGCGCAGGAAGAGCTGAAGAAGAAATTGGGGCTCGCGCAGGAGCAGCGGGCCACCATCGTGTCTTTCGAGTTCCACCGCGAGGACGAGCAGCGGCGAGAGGAGTGCTCGGCAGGCCAGCTCTTTCACCCCCGCTTCCTACCGCAGGGAATTTGGCTGCAGGTGCACGGCTTCAAGGAGTCCCCGATCTACCAGGAGGTCGCCGAGGTGCTGCGACAGGTCGCCGAAGACGCCGACGACGACGGCCAGGCCCAGGCGCGGGCGCGGAGCTTGCTGATGTTCAGGCCCAGCGAAAGGGAGTTCACATGGCAGAGCTCGGGGGCGCACAGCGCGCGCCGCTCGGGGTTCACCCTGGCGCGCGCGCCCAGCCTGACCTCCACGCTGTCGCAGGGCCAGACGCTGCGCAAGGGCGTCACCATCGACTGCGCGAGAGACGAGGGCGCCTGCCGCGCGGGCACGTCGGACGAGCAGCGGTGGCTGCACCTCTACGTCGTGCTCCCCCGCGCCACGTGCGCGCGGAGCATGCTGATCCCGCGGCCGCCGCCGCGGGAGTTCCTGGAGCGAGGGCCGCCGGCGTCCCTGCGGAAGGCGCTCCTGGGGTTCGACAAGAGAGCGGTTTTGTCCGGGGCGGAGGCGAAGCAGCTCGCGGCAGAGCTGGGCTTCGTGCTGCCCGCCTGAGCGCGGCTGCGCCCCGCTCGAAGCCCGCGGGGTTGTCCCAGCGGCTTGGTCTTGCGCGCAAGCGGCTCGCGGGGTTGCCCCGACAGCCTGGCCCGCGAAGTTGCCCCAACGGCTGCGCGACGTGGCCACTAGAGAACGCGCCAGCGGTGGCCGAGGCGGCGACGGCGCCGAGGACAACCGACATGCGCGCTCACGCAATGGAAAGGCGAGGAGGTGGCGGGGCGCGAAAAGAAAACAGGAGGGCGAGGTCGGGGGCAACGTAGGGAGCCGGGGGAGGGCCCGCGCCAGGGCGAGAAGAAATATGCGCAGAAGAGACAGCCAGGACGTCTCACCAACCACGAGGACGACAGTGAGGGCTTTTTCCAGATTCGCCCAGAGGATTGTCATGTGGGCTCCTCCCGTCGGAGTAATGGTTATGACGACGACGACGACGACGACGACGACGACGACGACTACGACTACTACTACTACTACTACTACTACTACCACCACTACTACTACTACTACTACTACTATTACTACTACGGCTACTGCGGCTACAACGACTACTACTACTGCTACTATTTCTACTACGACTACTACTGTGATTACTGCGGCTACGACGACTACTGCTACTACTACTACTACTACCACCACCACCACTACTACTACTACTACTACTATTACTACTACTACTACTACTACTACTACTACTACTACTACTACTACTACTACTACTCTTTTGCTACTACTACTACTACTACTACTACTACTACTGCTACTACTACTACTACTACTACTACTACTATCGTTTCCACTACTATTCCTACTGATACTACTACAACTACTACTACTACTACTACTACTACTACTACTACTACGACTACTACTACGACTACTACCACTACTACTACTACTACTACTACTACTACTACTACTACTACTACTACCACTAATACTACTACTACGACTACTACGAGTACTATTGTGTTTTATTGTTACTACTATTACAACTACTACGGTTACGGGTGCTACTACCACTGGTCCTACTACGACTTTGCTACTACTACTACTACTACTACTACTATATTACTACTACTACTACTACTACTGCTACTACTACTACTACTATTACTACTACTATATTACTACTACTACTACTACTGCTACTGCTACTACTACTACTACTACTACTCCTACGATTACTACGACAACGTCAACTAGCACGACTACGACTAAAACTAATCCTACTATTACTACTGCTACCTATTACTACTACAATTGCTGCTACTACTACTACTAATGCTGCTACTACTACTACTACTACTACTACTACCCTTACTACTACTACTACTACTACTACTACTACTACTCCGATTCTTAATCCCCCATTATTGCTACGACCACGGCGAGTGTTTCTACTAGCACCACCACATTACATTACTACTACAACTATTACTACTCCTATTATTTCTACCACTGCTGCGACTGGTACTGCTACTACTACTACTACGGCTACGACTACTACTACTACTACTACTACTACTACTACTACTACTACTACTACTACTACTGCTACTACTGCTGCTACTACTACTACTACTACTACTACTACTACTAGTACTACCACTACTACTACTACTACTACTACTACTACTACTACTACTGCGGCGACGACTACGACTACTACTACTACTACTACTACTACTACTACTACTACTACTACGACTATCATTATGACTGCTACTACGGCTACTTCTAGTGCTACTACTACTCTTCCTCCTCCCCCTCCTACCCTTACTGCGACTACTCTACTACTACTACTACTACTTTTACTTTTACTTATACTACTACTACTACTATCACTACCACTACCACGACGACTACTACTATTACTACTACTACTACTACTACTGCTACTACTACTATTACCATTACTATTACTATTACTATTACTATTACTATTACTATTACTATTGCTATTATTATTTTTACTGTTACTACTACTACTACTACTACTACTACTACTACTACTACTACTAGTAGTACCAGTACTACTACTGCTAATATTACGACGACTACTACTACTACTACTACTACGACTACTACTACTACTACTACTACTACTACTACTACTACTACTACTACTATACTACTACTACTACTACTACTACTACTACTACTACTACTACTACTACTACTACTACTAACTACTGTTACTGTTACTGTTACACTAGTAC